CAGTCCCTGAAATCGAGTGTGGTAACAAATGAAATTCTGTGAGTCACGTTTTCTCTCTTGGCACATCTAAGATTCTGAGGACTCCCTTCCTTTGGTAAGTTCTTTTTTACTTTACATGTGATCAGATTTGGTTAGAAGGACACCTTAAATGGAGGACCTTGCATCCCTCTTGGGACTATAAAAGTGTTTTATTTTGTGTTGTTTTGTTTTGCTTGGCAACTCCTTTATGGCATAAAGACAAGTGTCCCTCCGATTTACATACTCTGGTTTCTAAAGAATTTACATTTTGTCTGTGAGAAATGTCTTTTCTGGTGAATTCACTTTTGGTTATTTCTGCACACCTAATTTAATATTTTGTTTGGTCTCCATGCCTGATTTTAAAATTTTCTGAACAGATGCAGTGACAAGGGAACACTTATACACTGTTGGTAGGAATGTAAGTTAGCAGCACAACCTCTATGAAAATCAGTATGGAGATTCCTCAGAGACTAAAAGTAGATCTACCATTTGTTCTAGAAATCCCACTACTTGGTAGCTACCCAATGGAAGATAAGTTGTTATACAAAAAAGACACCTGCACTCACATGTTTATAGCAGCACTACTCACAATTGCAAAGATGTGGAATCAGCCTAAATGTCCATTAACCAATCAGTAGATAATGAAAATGTGATATATAATACACACAAACACACACACACACACACACACACACACACACACACACACACACATAAAGCATATCATGGAATACTATTCAGCCATAAATAAGAATGAAATTTAATGTCTTTTGCAGCAACTTGGATAGTATTGAAAACCATCATCCTAAGTAACTAAGTACAGGAATAGAAAACCAAATACCACATATTCTCACTTATAAGCGAGAGCTAAGCTAAGGGTATGCAAAGGCATAAAGAGTGGTGTAAAGGACATTGGAGACTCAGAGTGGGGAGACTGGGAAGGATGGACAGATGAGAACTTACCTATTGGTTACAATGTGCACTAATGAGGGTGACGGGTACACTTAAAGCCCCAGACTTCTTCATCACATGCAAAGCAGCCATGTAAACAAAACCCATTTGTACCCCTAAAGATACTGAGATAAAAATAATAAAATTTTTGTGGTTAGTATCGTTTTTGTTTTTGAGTTGGAGTCTCACTCTGTCACCCAGGCTGGAATGCAATGGCATGCTCATGGCCACCGCAGCCTCGACCGGCTGGGCTCAAGTGATCCTTCCACCTCAGTCTTCCAAGTAGCCGAAACTACAGGTATACACTACCACACCCGACTAATTTTTTATTTATTGTAGAGACGAGGTCTCACCAAATTGCCCGGGCTGGTCTTGAACCCTCAGGCTCAGGCAATCCTCTTACCTCGGCCTCCTAAAGTGCTGGGATTATAGGCTTGAGCTACTCTACCCGGCCTGTTTTTGTTTCATTTGGGTTTGGCTACACATGTCTGTAAATAATTTGGCATTTCCACTTTTACTTTTCCCCTACTTTTTTTGTGAACATCTTCTGAGAGCAAAATTAAACATTCTAAGTGGTGGCGCAAGATGACCATTTAACAGTGTTGTTTTAAGCTTCTTCATTCATGGTCATATGCTACACAGCAATAGAAAATCAATTCAGTGGCAAAGTCCTGATTTAGGGTAAAGTGACTAGTAAATCTATTTGACAACAGAGCTAAAGCTTCACTCTTATCAGCAAGAAACCTGACATTCTAGTTTCTACCTGACTTCTCTACTTCTTGATTAGTTCTATCTCAAGGGAAGAAAGAGTTTTTATTTATTCACTCCACAAAAACCCCAGAACCAGACACTATATTACTCTGCAGCCAAGACCTCCTAAGTAATGCAGCACACTGGGCAATTCTTTAAAATGAGAATCAGAGCAGACATGGTGGCTCACACCCATAAACCTAGCACTTTGGGAGGCCAAGGCAAGAGGACAGCTTGAGCCCAGGAGTTCAAGACCAGCCTAGGCAACATAGTAAGACCTCATCTCTAAATAAATAAATAAACAGACAGATAAATAAAATGAGGCTCAGAGCTTAGGATGTGTTAAAAGACTCAAACCAGCATCACCTGAGGATTCAGATACTTAAAAGGCTTTAGATTTTGTTTACTCCATAATAAATCCTCTCTTCCTATGAGCTGAGAGAAAGCATAATGGATGAAGAGAAAGGCTTAACAATCACTGAGTAGATTTTATATATATACCTTCCTCGTGAGAACTAAAAATTTACAACCCCAAGCTTTGTTAGTTTATACAATTTTCACTTCTCAAATAATCACCTTAAAGTAACTGTTCTTTTTCTTTTTTTCTGGGGTTTCATTCTGTTACCCAGGCTGGAGTGCAGTGGCACTATCAAGGTTCACCACAGCCTGGACTTCCTAGGGTCAGGTGATCTTTCTCCCTCAGCCTCCTGAGTAACTGGGACTACAGGCGCACACCACCATACCCCACTAATTTATTTCATGCTTTGTAGAGATGGGGGGGTCTTGCTATGTTGCCTAGGCTAGTCTTGAACTCCCAGGCACAAGCAATCTCTCTGCTTCAGCCTCCCAAAGTGCTGGAAGTAAAGGCATGAGCCACCATTCTTGGCCAAGTCACCGGTCTTTTCAATGTAGTTTAAATGAATGAGAAAGAGCTTTGAGATTTCCTACCAAAACTTTACACACAGCAAGCGAATTGCTTCAGGCTGGGTTGTTTGTATGAATATGTATTTTCTGAATAGAAAATGTGCTTATATTCCTCCTGGAATTCTGTCACCCCTTCTAGCAACATCCTCCAACAAATGTGTTCATTGCAAGCAGCCAATTCAATAATACACATCTGTCTCACCTTTCTAAAAGACTCCTGGTTTTTGATGGGGCTGCGGGGTACTAACTGGGCAATCAGCATAAGAAGAAATGTGAGGTTTTGAAGGCTCTGTCCCAGAATCTACTGAATGTTCCATTTAAGAGGCCACGTTAAGGGACAAAACGGTGTACTCTACTGACAGTAGGAAATTCATTAGGGGAAACTAGGTCTCCCAATTTAGTCACAGATGCAGTCCAAAAGATTGCAACCTCTTCCCTCATTTACAATACAGTCACTACTACTTACATACGTATTTATCTATCTGTCTATCTATTTATTTATTTATTTTGGCTAAAGGGAATTTCAAACGCTTTTAGCTCAATCCTTTCTTCTACAAATAAGGAAATTGAGGTCTAGAGAAGTTACATAAAAACCAAAATGCCAGATCAATCATTTCTTCCATTGAATCCTGCACTTCTGAAGGTTCAGTCCGCCAGTTTTCTTTTTTTTTTTTTTAACTCAGAAGGCCATGATGTGGTGGCTAAGAGTGTGTCTTTGAGAAGTTCAAAGAAGCCCTTGGAGACAGGGCTGCCCTGTCTGGTCTAGGGAGACCTAAACATCTGAGAAGCAGAAACGCTAACCACGGATGGTTTCCATGGTGACCATGGAGGAGCCCAGGTACACGCTGTAATGAGGATGGCCAGTCAGCACGTAGGGAGCCAAGGCTGTGGAACATTCCAGAAAAACTCCCATACCACGGAGTCACTCAGATGAAACCTGAATGAGTGGCTACCCTGCCCTCAAGGGATGCTCTCAGAGACAGACACACAGCAGCTCTGGGCTCTAGGTAGCTGGCCCCGTGCAGAACTCTTTTTCATACATTATCTCATTTAATCACCGCCAAACCTTATAAAGTAGACTTGAATTCTCTCTCCTTTTGCCAATGAGTAAAGTGAAGCAGCTTACCCGGGACCACTGAGCTTATAAATGGTGGTTCTGGCCTAGCTATAGTGCCTTATTCCTCCCACTCAGTGCTTAAGAAACAAAACAAAACATCTCTGAAATGTCTCGCCTGGGGAGCTTCCTTGTCTTCTAAAGAGAAGTACAAGCCATGATATCAGAGACAGACAGCCTTGAACTAAAAGTCTGAGAGTTCTTATCTCAGAGAAGAGAAAAGCCACAGCTTTAAAGCCCACCATGGATATATCGCTGCCCATCATTACTAGATTCTGGAAAAGTTCCCAAAATGTTATTTTTAAACATTAAGTCATACAAGAAAAATTCCCTGAAGAAGGTTTGCAAGTCCTGAGAATTAAGTCAATACCGAATAAGACAGCAGAAACGACCTCACACCCAAGCAGAACAAGTATTCTGTGAAATCTTAAGAATAAGTGTGAGTTAAAGGGCACTGAGAATCCCAGTTCATTCACTAATCCACTCCACACGCCTGACACTGAAGCCATAATTGCCATCTTTAGTTAATCAGTTCCCTGGGTTGAGATTTTTGTGCATTGCTTAAAGATAAATATTCCGAAGAGGAAAAAAAAAAACACACAAACATACAATTAAAAAAACCACAGGCAATAGCAGTAATCAACACCTTAGTATGAAGGCGTTATATCGGGGTCCTGTTACTGAGGGAGCACTCAGCAGTGGGAGGAGAGAGAGACAGAGGCCATTAGGAGACATGCAAAGCACAGAGCAGTGTCTGGAAAACACAGGCTTCTGGGAGGAGCCTGGATTAGCACAGCATAAGAAGAAATGTGAGGTTTTGAAGGTTCTGTCCCAGAATCTACTGAATGTGCTTTGAAGTAAAATGGAGTGCAGGAGTTTCAGCAACAAAATGGAACACAACAAAACTATATTGTGTTCATTGACAACACAATAAGGAACTCATCTTCCATCTTTAAGGAGAAACTGAGTTTGTCTCACCACTTAGAAAAATCTGTGTTGTCAAATCCATACTTAGTCTTCTTGTATTGTGATCCCAGAAACACCACTCTAAAACAGGAAGTTACTCAGAAGAAAGGAGTTTAGACACAGCATCTCTGACTGCCCTTAATCCAAAATAGAAAACACAATCATAACAAAGCTATTCCATCAAATCAAACGATGCCCCGACCCTCCTTCCGGATCCTGTTAGGCTAAAGTGAACTGGACCACAGCAGTTAAGGTTTAAATATGATACAGTACTCACTCGAAAGACCTTTTCCACTCTTGCGATGCTTTTTCCAAAGATGGTTCCCAGTTGGTCACCAATTCCAGCCAATAGGAAACCAAAGAGTGGAATTCCAAAGATGGCATATAAAATACAAAAGATTTTTCCTCCTTCAGTGCTTGGTGCAATATTTCCATACCCTGGTGAAAAATATTAAAAAGAGAAAGTGGCAGAGAAATTAGCACATGAACCAAAGTGTTCACAGATTTTTTAAAAGGTCTGTGCACCCCCACTTCATGAGTTTCAAGGAGAACTCCATTTTTCAAAGGCTCCCCAAAATTCCTAATGTCTTCTGTTGCTCCTCTCACTTTTCTCCTTGCAAAGTCTCTACGGTCTCCTGGATCTAAATACACTTCAGGAAATGTGTGGTCTCCCAGAAAGTTCACGTTAATTTCTGATGAAAAATGATACTTTTTCATCAACACCAAAAGAATGGGCATGTCTGGCTTAGGGAGTCCTGAACATCTGGGAAGGAATCATCATTGCATGGTTTGGATTTGGCAAGAGCATCTCCTTTTTCATCTTAGGTAAGGGCATCCCCTCCCCCAGACACCCTGGGGCTGTCTCCCAGGGTCATGAGTACTCCACTGTAAAGATGAGATGTGGTCTATACAAACTCAGAAAGGACTCATGAGGTACGGTCCTACCCTAGGAAACCTTAGAACAGAAGAGAACAGGGAAGGGAAGGCTTTGTACCTCTTCCCTGCCCTCCCATAGTGAAGTTAAGCTCTGCTGGGATCTCCTTTTATCTTCACTGGGAATCCTACACCACCTCTGAGTCCTGCCTTTCCTTGTACCGCCAATCATCAAGTGTCAAGTAAATGTTCGTTGATGGATGCTTGAATTTGAGAGAATCATTTTGCATTTTTCAAATCATGCTTTGAAAGCACCAGCATCCATATTCTGCAGAGTTTTGCAGTCACATAAATAACTTACACAGAGAGTTGTGGGCCCACTTGCTATGCATGGGACTAAAGAAAGAATTGCTGGAAAGAAAAAGACCTGCAGCATCAGCACGATAGAGATAAGAGCCTAAGTTAATTAATACTCATTTTCGTGCCAATTTAGCATTACAATATTATGCTAACTAGGATCTACCTAGTCACCTAACCATTCTGCCAAATTCAGGTAATTCATGCAGTGCCTGTTTCTGAATCCTCATAATGTGAAAGTTATTGGGTCCAGGGTTATAGGCATGTTGAGAATGCGACATCAGTAAAAACTAATGTTTATCGGTTAGTGCATCACTCATATGCCCAGAGGCCTGGAGAACTCACTGTTGTTTTCTGCCTTTGGGAATAAGTCATTTGGCTGTTTTCCTCTTCAATTATTCATTCGGAATCATTCAAACCTCTTATCACAAATGATCTAAGTTAGTTTCCATTTCTTACATGAGTGCTCAGGTTAACCTTCCCAACTTTGTACTTCTTTTACTCATCAAGATTTTAATTCAAATGTGCAAAGAATGTCTTGGAACTTTTTTCAGATGCTTTAGGAAACTTGGACAAAATCATTTTTTCAAGCATTTTCCTCCAGCATCATCCAATTTGCATTAAGCTATCCCTACTGGAAACGACACAAATGTTCCTCTAAAGCTTCTCTTTCTGCAGGTGACTCTTGGAAACATCCTCGTAACTTGTGAAAACATTGAAGACTCTAGCTTGGCTGGCTAACAACTGCCTGACTTTGGGGTATATGGGATGTCTTTTAGTCTTCAGTGTCTCAGAAAGAAACATACTGCAGACATAGGCAAACAAATTGAGGTTTTGACCTGCTGAATGGGCACCTCATTAATCCTGACAAGTGCTATTCAGTTCCAGCTTTCAGAGAGGACCACCCTCCACTCATGGGGAGGACACTGCACCCATAGGACATCTCTGGTGTCATCCAAGGAGAGAAGAGGAAACGAAGAACTCAGACCACCTCCATCCCCTACCACCTGGTTGTCCTTAGACCTCTGAACTCTCCAAATCCTAGTGTTGGAGGAATTCAAGGAAAATGAAAAAAAAAAATCAGTGAACGGGGTCCCAGGTCCTAAACCAAGGGAAGTGAGGACCAGTTGGAAGCCCAAACTTCACCTGCACATAGATTACTTATGTACCTAATCCTGATTTGCACTCCACATCTCTATAATAAAACAAAGTAAAAAAAAATCGGTGAACTGTAAAGTGTTGTATCATGCAACATTTGATGATGATTTTGATTACAATTGGTTCCTTATTTATTCAATGTTTTGCTGACTAGAACACTAAAGCAAAATAAAGCAAAGTTCAAGGAAACGAGGGATGTAATATTTAAATAAGTTTTTAAATACGAGGAGGGATCCCCCCCAAAACAGAATTTATTTATTAAAAACTGTGTACTTATTCTTACATGTTTAAACTTTAGTCATCTTCAAATTACTCTTCTCTTGATGCAATACACCTATCAAGACACATTTTCCACCATTCAAAACAGTTTTGAACTTGTCAATTTGGATGCTTTTCAGCGCACCTACCTTTTTTTGTTTCATCTCTTCCACATCGGCAAAACGTTTCCCTTTGAGGACTTTTTTCACCCAAGAAAACAAAAAAAAAGTCACTCGGGGAGAGTTTGGGTGAATGGGGAGGATGGGGCACGGGTATCATGCCATTTTGTGGTCAAAAACTGCTGAACACTCAGCGTAGTATGAGCAGGTATACTTGTAAATCACCCATCATGAAATAGGCAAGCACGTTGAAAGAATCTCAAAAAAAAAAAAAAAAATTCACTGAAGCCGAACACAGCCTCTCACCATAACACTAGCTGTTACACTGATGCCAACGCATTCCTAGAATACTTACCTAGCAGGGGAAACCTGAATTACAAGAGGCCTACCCTCCAAAAGATGATTCCTTTTTTGGGGGGGTCCCCTCATATATTTCAGGTGACCTTTCTTTGGTGACAAACTTCTCAGTGTGTGTGTGTCTTATGCCTCTGGTGAATTAGCAGGAGAGACAGTTTGATCCTCAACCTTATCACTCTGGGAAAATTCCTGCACTTACACTTTGGAGCTGTTCTTTGAGGCAATGAGAAGGCTGTTCCTGGGTTTTGGGTTCTAGTTCTGCCCTGCTCGTCCTTCCAGAATGCTTGGAAGCACCTTGAAGTAAGGCATGACCATTGTGTGTAGGCTCTAGAACTGGAAACAACATGAATTCCTATTCTGATTCTTCCATTTACTAACACTCAGAGATTTGGCACATCACTTAACCTTCGCTGCCTCACTTTCTATTTCTGAAAGACAAGACTATGAAAGCACCTACCTCATGTTTATTAAGCATTAAATTAGGTACATGCGAAGATTAACTACATGTGAAGCATGACACTAAGCACCTAGTATTAGAACTTGCCATCTTGCCCTGTGCTTCTCTGTGGAAAGGATTCATTTCTGAGCAATAAGTCTCCAGGAAAACTAAGTCCCAGGAGAAAACAGATGGCCAGTTCCATTATCCCTTCGGAAACATCACAGTTTTCCCATAGCCCCAGGACAAGGAACAAAACATGTACACCTCACTTTGGGTTGGGTCAGTGACTTGTGTGGGCCCACAGCAGAATTTGAGCATCTCTTGAGGCAGTTGGGGCAGTGGAGGCTGGGACATGAGTCAGGACAACACAGTTGCTGGAGGGGCAATTGTCCACCCAGCCCAGAAACATCAGAACTGGATTTAAGTACAGCAAAAGGAGTCCAAGGTGCATCCCCACAGATCGGCTTCTGGTGACTTTCGGCAGAGGACAACCAGCCCAGCAAGGACAAACAGCCAAGAGGTGGCTGCTATGAATGGGCAGGACCAAGGCAGGCTCTGCTCTTGCACCCCTGGCTAGAAACGGTTCCAAGAGAAAGCATTTAGAGAGGACTTGAGCCCGAGCAGCACATATGTGTGCTTCTATTTGCTACTTATGTGCCAGAGTCAACCCTGCTTGTTTGGTTAAGAGTGTGCTTTGAACCAGACCATCTGTGCATGCAGAACTGCATTACAGATACACAACCTGTGTAGTCACACAGGGCCCACACTTAGAAGGGCGCTGTGCTTGGTTCAATGCTTGGTTGCCATTTTTTTTTTAAGTCGGAGTCTCACTCTGTCACCCAGACTGGAGTGCAGTAGCCACTCCCGGCCACCGCAGCCTCGACTTGCTGGGCTCCGGCGATCCTTCTGCCTCAACCTTCCAAGTAGTTGAAACTACAGGCATGCACTACGAGGCCTGGCTAATTTTTTTTTTTTAATTGTAGAGATGAGGTCTCGCCAAGTTGCCCAGGCAGGTCTCGAACACTAGGGCTCAGGCAATCCACTCACCTCAGCCTCCCAAAGCACTGGGATTACAGGCTGAGCCACCGAGCCTGGCCACCTTTTTTTTTTTTTTTTTTTTTTGAGTCGAGTTCTCACTGTTACCCTGGCTAGAGTTAGAGTGCGAGGCACAATCTCAGCTCATCATAGCCTCGAACTTCTAAGCTCGAGTAATCCTCTGGCCTCAACCTCCCAAGTAGCTGGGACTACAGGCATGTGCCAACATGCCCAGCTAATTTATATATATATATATATATATGGAGAGAGACAGGTCTCACTATGTTGCCCAGGCTGGTCTCAAACTCCTGGACTCAAGCAATCCTTCCCCCACTTGGCTTCCCAAAGTGCTGTGATTATAGGTGTGAACCACTGTGCCTAGCCTGTGGTTGCCAGTTTGAATTTCTGAATCATTTTTTAAGAAGGGACCACATTTTCATTTAGCACTGCACCCCAAAAATTATGCCACTGGTCCTGATGAAGGAAGCCAGACTCTATTCCTCACTAACTGAAATATCAGGCAAGTTACTTAACTTCTCTGGGCCTCAGCCTTCTTGTAGATAAAATGGGACAAATAACAGTACCTACATCATGTGGCTTTGAGGATTAAATAAGATCATGTCTGTGAAGCTTAATGCTTGGTACTTAGTAAGAACTCAGTAAGCCGGGCTCAGTGGCTCAGCCTGTAATCCCGCGCCTTTGGGAGGCTGAGGTGAGTGGATTGCCTGAGCCCACGGGTTCGAGACCCGCCTGGGCAGCAAGACCTCATCTCTACAATAAATCAGAAAATCAGCCGGGCGTGGTAGCGCATGCCTGTAATTCTGGCTACTTGGAAGGCAGAG